AGGAAGGAAGGAGAAAATAAGATGAATGGGAGGGAGGGATGGAGGGAAGGAGGGAGGAAGGAAGGAAGGGAAAAATAGGATGAATGGGAGGGAGGGAAGGGGGGAGGAAGGAAGGAAGGAGAAAATAAGATGAATGGGAGGGAGGGAAGGAGGGAGGGAGGAAGGAAGGGAGAAAATAGGATGAATGGGAGGGAGGAAGGAAGGAGGGAGGAAGGAAATAGGATGAATGGGAGGGAGGGAGGGAGGGAGGGAGGGAGGGAGGGAGGGAGGAAGGAAGGAAGGAAGGAAGGAAGGAAGGAAGGAAGGAAGGAAGGAAGGAAGGAAGGAAGGAGAAAAACGGAGGCAGCAGCCTGGTCTTTCCAGTGCAGAAAACGCCCAGTGGAATATGACAAATTAGGATTAGGTGTTCAATCATGCAGCAGGCATGAAGAGTGTTCGCATGCTTCTGGTTTAAGGGAGGAAAACATCCCATCCTGCACGACACCCATTCCCTAAAATCTGCCACCAATCATGGTTTTCTCAAAATGTTGGTCCCTGCCTCCCCCCCCACCCCCCTCAAGCCCCCAGCCCTGTTGTCGTTTTTTACAAGGATGAGTGAACTATGAAACAGAACACTGTACATGCGTCTCCTCTACAAAAAAATATTTGCATAAAATAGTGTTTAATTTCTCTGTACATGTCGATGGACACTCTAGTTCGTGTATAAAAGAAGTGGGGGTAGGTGGGGGAGAAGAGGACTCACACACACACACCCACTCCCCCACGGGGGTCAGGGGAAAGAAAAAGAAAGGAAGGAAGGAAGGAAGGAAGGGGAAAAAAAAGAGAGGAAAAACCCAGAGTCTAGGATATGGAAACCTCAGTCACCGGCAAACATGTTCAATGTGAAAATTCAGCAGAATAAGACAAATTGCTTGGAACAATTTTTAAAAATTGGTATTTTTTTTGTTTTCCTTTCCTTTCCTTTCCTTTTAAGTTAAACATCTCTCTGACTGCCAAGCTATCACTACAGGACTTCAGGTCAAGAAAAAAACATGTCACTAAAGTTAGTGTCTGTGCTATAAAGCCAAATCACCAACGGCAAGGAGAGGAGCACGAACGGCCAGGAAATCCCTTCGGTGCATGCAGACAAAGGACGTGGTTTGGTGGTGGGCGGCCCACTATCTTTACCCGGCTCCAGGTAAGTACGGGCCACAAACTTAAGAGTCTCGTCCAGCAGGATCACCGGCAGGGAGAGCTTGAGCACCATCAGCCACTGGGTCACGTTCAGAGGGGTGATCTGGAAAATCAGCTGGGGAAAGAGAAGGAGGAGGAGGAGGAGGAGGGTCAGGGCGGGAGAGCTTGTGCGAAGGGACGGAGCTTCGAGTCCCAGAATTGTGCTAGGTCGACGCTTCTCAACCTCAGCATCTCTTAAAGTGTGTGAACTTCAACTTCCAGAATTCACTAGTGTCAAGAGTATACTCGTGAACTGGAATAGAGCACGGTGACAAGGTCAGCCAATGAATAGGCACAGCGACTAAGTCAGCCAATGAGGACTGTTTGGAAACTGAAACTAGAAGGACAGCTCTGAAGCTACGTTGAGCTTCGAGTCTGTCTATGGAAGACGAAACGGCTTCTCTCCTCTGCTGTGTGTCTCGCTTGCCTGCTGAACTCAAGTGAAACTGTTGTCTGCTCCTGAGCTCCTGAGTGGCTGTTCTGCTCTGAACCTGTGACATGTCTGCTTCTGTTTGAGTTGGCTCCACGTTGGAGAAATCTACAACTGGTATTGTAAAATTTACTTTTATGTGTTTATAAAGAAGTTAAAATGAAGCCTCAGCCACCTGTGTTTACTTTTCTGGCGCTAGGTCAGCTTTCCCTCAATCTGGGCAACTTTGAGATGGGTGGACTTCCTGTGATGGTTGGGGAATTCTGGGAATTGAAGTCCACCCATTTTAAGAGATGCTGAGCTTGAGAAAGAGGCCTTAGCCAGATGCTCAGGGAGACCTTGGCGAGTCAGGTGAAGACAGGATGAGCTTCTGCTTTTCCTTCACCCTTGAATGGGGTGAAGGCCTTAAGTCTTTGGAGTATAGCTAGTTTGTAGAGTGCCTGGGCGAGGACTGGATGATGTGCTCTTTAACGGCACACTGTCTGCTTTCGTTTCTGCAAAGAGCAGCTGGGAGAGAAGTCTTAACTCTCCATGGGTTAGCAAGCTGGGCTTCTGATGCTGCTTCCCCCCCCCCCGACCCGCCCCCCCCGAGGGTGAGTTGCAGGGACTTACTGGCAATGGTTCTACATAAAGGATGAGGAAGTGAAGAGACATGGACAAGCAAATGGATCCCAGGAGCCAGACGTTCTCCCACGGAGGCATCCGCATCAAGGATTGGTTCTCCGAGAGGCTGAGGGAGGACAAGAGAAAGCTCGTGAGAATGGAGTTGCAGGACATCCGGTTCAATCCCTCTGGAGGGCCTATTAAGACTGCTGAATGGAGGAGAAAGAAGAGGAGGATAGATCGAAGAGGAGAAGGAAAAGACAGAGAAAGACATCTTTTTCTCCTTTCAGGCATCCTAACCTGTTGAGGGCGTTGCACATCTCTATGGTGACCAAGACGGAGAGCGCCATGGTCATAGGGTAGGGAGACTCAAACACCACACAGTCGACCCCTTCAAACTCTGGATTGTCCTCTTTGCACTGCAGGAAATGACTCTGAAAAACAGCAGAAGGCAACGTTAATCTCAACAAAACTCCCCCAGGGCCAAATTTGCTCTTTTTCTCTACTCTAAATTCACCAAAGCACCCTCAATGGTACAACACCGCTAAGAACAGTTAAAAAAAAAAAAAAAAAAAAGCCCACGGTTTCTAATCAGATTATTACTGTTAAGCAGGGACTCCTTGGACGAGTAAGAGGATTTTCCGCAATACTTGCGGATGGATTTTAGCAAGTTTTTTGAGCCCGTCTTCCGGTGACACGCCACGTAGGCAGGTTGCAAGCAAAAAAGGCTAAGCTTCTTTTGGAAGACGAGTTGCCAAGAACCAAAATATCAAAAGGAAATACCAGCTGGTAGTAGGTGATTCTCGGGCCCCCATCCGCAGCTATGAACCACCAAGCAGCAGCACCCACTGTGGCAGCTCCGACGTAGCCTTGAGGAGAAAAAAAAGCACAGTGAGTCTCGCGCCACTGAGTTAACGGCCACCCCACCGATGGCCCACGGCTTCCTGAGTCTGCCATCGCTCTGCAAGTTTAGGTCTTATCGGTCAAGTCCTCACAACTGGATTCCTTCCCACGTCAGATCTCTGACTCGGAACAAATCCAGGAAAGTGGCCAAGTCAGTGGTTCTCAACCTATGATCCACAGGTCCCTGGAGGGGGCTGCAATGTTTGAGGCAGTCTACTGCTTTAAATCTTGAGTTGAGTTTTGGTAGCCTTTGGTGGCCATGGCCTATGGACCCCAAAGGTATTTAAAGGGGGCCTGTATTGAATGGGCCCACGTTGTATGAGTGAGAGGGATTTCATGTACAAAGCCTTGGGGGACTCCGCTAAAACATGGCCTTGTGTCTTTTGGGATGCTTCTTGCGTTCATCCTTAGTTAAACCCCCTGGCATCACTGGCTAAGAACCAGACTTGAAACTGTATTTAACACAAAGCAATCCAAGGACAAGATCAGTTGGAGGTCCTGATCTGAAAGAACCACTGACTTGACTGCAACTCTTAAAAAATAGCCAAGAAACAGATGCAGCCCCTGAGAACTAATTTTGGTACCCAAAGACGATCTTCTGTTACCTTACCCTGCTACAAAACTGATTTTTATGCCTGTCTGATTATGGCACTGTTACTTAACCTTGGCCACTTGGAGAAGGGGGGGGGGGACTTCCAACTCCCAGAATTCCCCAGCCAGCATAGGAAATGGAAACCCACCCCTGCTGTTCAAGTGGCCAAGATGGGGAAAAAAAATACTGAATTAAGGGGGAAAGGGAACAATCTCTGTTCTCTCTAGTTCAGTGGCACTCAGGCAAAACACTCACATCCGATCGCCAAGTAGCGGAAAAAGAGCCACCCGGAGATGAGGGGCTCCTTAGGGTTACGAGGGGGCTTGCTCATGATATCCAGGTCGGGGGGGTTGAAGCCCAGGGCGGTGGCGGGAAGTCCGTCAGTCACAAGGTTTACCCATAACAGCTGGACAGGGATTAAAGCTTCCGGGAAGCCCAGAGCAGCGGTCAGGAAGATGCTAGAGGAGGAGGAGGAGGAAGAACAGAGGTTAAGCCACGTTAACGCCAAGGAGTGTCTTAAGCTACGAGGCTTGAAAGTTAAACCCCACGGATCAGCAGCTGGCCTCTCACTCTTCACGCTCTCAGAAGTGAGCAAGCGGACGGCAGGAAGGGAGGCTTGGACCCTGCCCGGGAAGGTGAAGTGTCCCCCCCCCCCCAATGGAGGGAGGTCTCTGGGATCCCTTCTTTTATTCTAAGATAAGGCTAGTCCTTATCTAAGAATAAAAGAACGGCAGCTCGGTGGCTAAGACGCTGAGCTTGTTGATCAGAAAGTTTGGCGGTTTGAATCCCCAGCGCCGCGTTACGGAGTGAGCTCCTGTTCCTTGTCCCAGCTTCTGCCAACCTAGCAGTTCAAAAGCACCTAAAAGATGCAAGTAGAAAAATAGGGACCATTATTTTGGAGGGAAGGGAAGAGTGTTCCGTGTGCCTTATCGGCGTTTATAGTCATGCTGGCCACATGACCACGGAGACGTCTTCGGACAGCGCTGGCTCTTCTTCGGCTTTGGGACGGAGATGAGCACCGCCCCCTAGAGCCGGAAATGACTGCCACAAATGTGCACCTTGACCTTTAAGGCTAGTCCAAACCTTGGCAACTCCAGAATTCCCCAGTCAGCCGTGTTTATCTTGTAAGCTGGCCAGAGCAGCTTTGAAACATGATGGGCAGCAAATAAAATTTCGTAATAAAACAATAGAGCTGAGGTTTACAAGCCTTAAAATAGCTGTTCTAGATGCTTAAAACAGCTCTCCAGTTTTAAGCTACCTTGGGGACCCAGTTACCCATCTAGACGGGCCTGATCTCAAGACTCTCTCCAGAGGGCGCGATAAATACCCATGGAGGCTGCCAGGAGGAATCCAGCCCTTGCTCTGCTCCTAGTTGCAAACGCCCCGGTTACTCACCAGACCACTTCTCCAACGTTGGAGGAGATGAGGTAGCGAATGAATTGCTTCATGTTGTTGTAGATGGCCCGGCCTTCCTCCACGGCGGCTACGATGGTGGAGAAGTTATCGTCCGCCAGCACCATTTCCGACGCCGTCTTCGCCACGGCCGTGCCGGATCCCATGGCAATTCCGATTTCTGCCTTCTTCAAAGCGGGGGCGTCATTTACGCCGTCTCCTGTCTGGGAGAAGTTTCAAGTTGGGTCAGGATCCCCAGCCAAAAGAAACCAACAAGTACAAGAAAAAACCAATCAAAGTACACAGAGCTTCAAGGAGGACTTGGAACCGATCGAACGACTTTGCTTCCTGCAAAGGTTTCGTCACCTAGGCCTGACTTTTATCCCTTCTGGGAGGGGCAACCACCTCCCAGCCTTACTCCCGAGTCGCCCCTTCTGTCTCAGCTGCTTTCGCCTTCTAGTAGCTCTGTGCACACACACACTGGGAACAGGCTCCCCTGGGTCCTCTGCCTCGCTGTTGCCAGACTCCGGAGGCTCCAGAGTCAGCACCCCACTCCCAGATGGCCCTGGCCCCATCTCTGCGTCGGATGCAGGACCCTCATCCGAGTCCTCTCCAGGCTCCCTGACTGGTTCCCTTTCGTCCTCACTGTCTGCACCAGCTGCCAGCGAACCCAACAAGACCCAACATCCCATCACACGTTTATCGGTGCACAAAAGCTCCCCACTTGCACACTTACCATTGCTGTGATCTCGTCAAAGGACTGGAGAAACTCCACAATTTTGGACTTGTGGGAGGGTTCCACGCGGGCAAAGCAGCGGGCATTCATGCAGGCGTCTCTCTGGCCGGCTGGCGAAAGTTCATCAAACTCCCGGCCGGTGAAGGCTTTGGAGGTGACGTCGTCCTCTTCGCCAAAAATGCCAATGCGCCGGCAGATGGCCACCGCCGTCCCCTTGTTGTCGCCGGTTATCATGATCACACGGATGCCCGCTTGCCGGCACAGCTTTATGGAGGAGGCCACCTCAATGCGGGGCGGGTCCAGCATTCCCACACAGCCCACGAAGGTCAGGTTTGTCTGAAAGGGGAGCAAAGCCAGAGGCGGTCAAGGGGTCCTAAGCAGAAGGAAGCTGCCCACATTGCAACAGCCAGAGATCCCAAAGTGGAGATTGACAAGGATGTAGATTTATCTTTATTACTTTGCAACTTTTAAACATGTAATCTGCTACGTCTTTTCTTTTTTCTTTCTTATCTCTTTCCTTCCTTCCTTCCTTTAGCCCGTTTTCTTCTAACTTCTTTCCTCTCTCTCTCAATTTTCTTTCCTTCCTTCCCTTTCACCCTTCCTTCTTCTAATTTCTTTCTCTCCCTAATTTTCTCTTTCCTTCCTCCCTCTAACTTCCTCTCCACTAATTTTCCTTCCTTCCCTTTCTCCCATCCTTCTTCTAACTCCTTTCCTCTCTCCCTCTACCGATCTTCCTTCCTTCCTGAAGTTATCATTCCTCCCAAACCAAAGATTACAGAGAGAGTTCATTCTCAATCTCGCAGGTGTAAGGCATAGCATGATCTGGGCATGCTAGACATCGAAACGCAGAGCTCACCCCCAAGGAGCTCCGCCCAGCCAATCTGGGACTCCCACCCAGCAGGTCAAATCAACTCTGTTTAAAACTCCAACGATGAAAACTTCGACCTGACATCAAACCAACCTCATAGGTGATGAAGCCTGCAGAGTCTTCCAGGTTCATTTCTTCCTTTCTCGGGGGGTTGTCATGGGTGGCCAGGGCCAGGCAACGCAGTGTGTCCTTCCCGGTGCCCCACTCACGGATGACGGTCATGATCTTCTGCTTAACCCCCGGGGTTAAGGGTATCTTCATGTGGCCTGCTCGGAAATGGGTGCACCTGTCAATCACTCCTTCTGGAGCGCCCTGCGGGAGAGCGAGAGTGGAACCAATTCAGCCTGCAGGCACTTTTTACCTTTTCGTCCCAGAAGCCCTTTCACAAAGGAGATGCCAAGAGGTCACCTAAACCCAGAGTCGTGTTGTGGTGTACAGGGTATCCTCAACTTACGACCAAAACAGAATTTCCACTGCTGAGCGAGCCAGTTCCTAAGTGAATTCCCTCAGTTGTTAAGTCAATCACTGCAGGTGTTAAGTCACTTACACAGATGTTAAATGAATCTGTTCCTCCAGGGACTTTGCTCATGAGGTCGCAAAAGGGGATCCCATGACCCAGAGACACGGCCACCGTCACAAATACAAGCCAGTTGCCAAGCATCCAAATCCCTGTGACCCTGGGGGTTGCTGCAGTGGCCGTGTGAAAAACGGTCGTAAGTCCCTTTTTCCCCGTGCCGTTGTAACTTTGAACCGCCACTAAATGAATGGTTGTAAGTCCAAGACCGCCTGCAATCTAGCCCCCCATTTCTGGGGCCCCTTCCGGAGTTTCCCCCCCCCCCCCCCTTCCAGGGTAACTTGCCTTCACAAACATCTTGGTCATGGCTGTCCGGCTGGGCTTGTTTGGCGTGCAGTAAACGGACATGGATTTCCTATCCCGGGAGAATTCGAGCGTGAATTCTTTCCTCATCAGCTGCTTGATCACCTGCGCAGGGAAGAGTCAGAACTGGGTTGTAATCAGTGTGCGTGGAAGCACCTGGGTTGCCCCAAAAGCCCAGTGCTGTAGGAGGACTGACCGAATTGCAAGCGTTGGCCCGCTCGATCTTGGACAGGCCTTTCAGGTCCGTGTCGAAGACGTTCATCTTCTCCACCAGGCAAGTCAGGGCTGTCTCCGTGGCTTCGCCCACCTTCTCGTAAACGCCCTTCGTCTTTAATTTAAAAAAAAAGAAAAAAAAGCCACTGTTGACATGAAGCAGAAGAGTCATTCATAATCACCTGTGGGGTTGGCCAACTCAAGAGATGGAATGACACTGAACAAAGCATGCTGTCATGGCCCCCCGTCGGAGCCTGAATCTGTGAAGGAAGATGAGCCGGTGGAGAGATATGGGGAGGAGAATGGGGAGGAACAGGCCGAAGCAGGCCAGGGCCTTTCAGGATTGGGGCGGCTTGTAGGCAGGGAGGAACAGGGGCAGGATGACCAGCAGAGGCTAAGAAGTGAACACGAGAGACAGAGTTCAGACAGTGAGCAAGGACCACCCCCTCCTGATCCTCGAGCATGGAGACTGGACAGAAAGCAGGAACAGCTCAGGCTGATCCGACAACTCGGGAGGAAAGCGCCCTGCCCCTCTTCAACAAGGCACACCTGAGATTTAAGGAGACGTTGTGGGGAGGGGCATTTGTCGGGAACAAATGCTCAATTAGTAGGGTTTGTTGTGCTGTACAGACAGTTGGAGTTTGCAGGACTGCTTGCTCTGGGACTTGCCACAAATATGGGAGCGTTTGGGGAACATTTGGAGCAACAAAGGGGCGCTTTCCACTGTTAGCTGACTGGGTTGCCTCTTGTACCATGCCCCAGGTCATCACACATGCTGACCTGAGGTGCCAACAGCTGATTAAAATCAGGAGAAGATCTGGAGTTTATTTGGCCATTCAATATAGGGTTTCAGCAGTTCTGATTGGCTTATGAGCCCCGTAAAAATATCATTAAGGTCCACATGAGATACGATCAACAGGAAATATGAAGAGCAAAGCAGTGACATCAAAAGTCCAAGTTATATTAATTTCGCTTGGTGTGTACACAGGCTTTAGCAGAGAACTATGGGAGACCAAGCCTTTTATCCCAGATTTTCCATTCCTCATGAGGTCTGCTCCAAATTCCCGTTCTTTATACTCCATGCTAGTTTAACGGGCTTATTATTTTCTTGAAGGGCACTCATGTGTTTCAAATCAGCACGGAAGAATTACATGCAAGACCACAAGAAGAGTTTTGCTTAGGCAATTCTCTCGAAGGCTACTCACTTCATTGAAATCCAGAGAGGAGTCGTTGCAGAGGGCGCAGATTGTGGCCAATTCAATGAGGCCATCGTACATACAGCATTTGACAGGCTTATCATCTCTGTAACTGTTTGGGGAAGAATTGGGGGTGGGGGGGGGAGAGATAAAATTTCAGACAATCCTAATTCATCTGTGAACTAATTGGATCCTAGGAGAAGTCAGACAAATTGGAGCAGGTTCAAAAATAATATAATATAATAAATAATATAATAATATAATAAATATAATATAATATAATATAATATAATATAATATAATATAATATAA